GTCGAGCAACTGTCGAGAGCTGGCTCAGCTGGAGGACCTGGACGGCTTCCTGGTGGGGAGCGCGGCCCTCAGACCCGACATCGTCGACATCATCAACGCCCGACGACCCGACGTGTCCAGCCTCATTGCGCACTTCGACCGACCCGACGGCCGACGCGCCTGACGCGGGCGGGTCACTCCTAGTTTTCGTAGTTTTATAGCTCTGTTTATTTATTGAAATAAATATAGAAAATGTTTCTATTTTCATCGACGATTTCATGTGTTTCAACTTATCCACCTCACAAACGTAAAAAAGGGGCGAGTAACTACGTTTCTCGAAATGCAGCAAAAGCACACTCATTGATAACGAGAAAGACTAGTAGCATTAACTGGTGACGAATCTGAAACTGTTGCAGTACTAAGACTATGTTAACACGATATACTACGCTGTGGTATTTATGAAAGCAACACCAAAATAAGAAAACAGATCATATGCTCCTACAATATTTCTACAAAACATAATGAAATATTAAAATGATAATTGTAAATCAGGCTTACCTTATATTAGTGTTGTCTTGTAACATTCGTTTTTAAGACCGTAATTCCAAACCACCTTCGGCGTTGGGAAAATCATTAATCGTTCGTGGCACCAATGAAGATAAACTGAATTCGAGAATGAGAATAAATAAACCTTTATTGGATTCTGTGAAAACTTTGAAAGCGGAACAAGAGGTGGTCGAAAGTTTATATTCACATTCCTCATAAAGACCACATGGGTACGTTAATGTATAGCTGATACCCACATGCAAAGATACACACACAAAGCGATAGGTTTAGAGTATAATTACGTGTAGGTCATGTATGTATCATAATCGAATAAGTACATTATTTGTTCTCCGGAAGAGCTGAACGCTTGGAGAGCAGTCTCTGCGCCACAGAAAATAATAAATGTCTCCTCTTTATACATGTACTAAGTGGTCAAGTATATGCCTATATATATATATATATATATATATTCTCTTTTCTTTTTTTCAATAAGATACAAGACCTGAATCCTTCTGCTTTCATAGTATTGTAAAACATCATCCTTATGAATATTCCAAGACAAAACATTACAGTATTCAGTGGCGAATGCACACACACGAACAGAGGCCTGACTTTAGACGATATAGAGTAGATATTTGGACACACGGTGAAGGTGCACTATTTTCAGCAACAACAACAACATAACACTGTTGATAGTGATCAAAGTAATAATGATAATGGTAATAAGGGTTATGATGATAATGAATAATAAAAATGATAATGATACTAATGATGATAATTTTGATAATGATTATAATGATGAAATTAACATAATCATTATTAATCTTACAATTATTATTGTTATCATTATTATCATTATCATGATCATCATCATCGTCATCAACATCATCATCATTATTATCATTATTATTATCATTATCATCATTATCATTATCCTCATCATCGTGGGTGAGAAAGAGAGTACTGCTATTCTTTCCCTGATCAGTTCACCTTTCTATAAGACAAGAACCACATTATTTTATTTACCATCTGAATATATGGAATAATAGACGTGTGCACATTAAGAATTACAAACGGGAACGTGTTATCGTGTTCACTGTAAAAAAAAACTACAAACATACACATGCGTAATTACGTTCATCACTGTGTCACCATCCTGTGTACGATCTTTCAAGCGCAGGTATGACAGCGTCTTGTCTTTCCTGTCATGTTCCCTCGTGTGTGTGTGTGTTTTGTGTTCACATTTACGTGTTCACATACATGTAAGGGTCTCGTACACACACACACATACAAATATAGATACATGCGTGTGTGTGCTCCTCTGTCAGTATGTGTGCCTATCTATCTGTCTGTCTGTCTACCTACCTGTCTATCTGTAAGTCTACCTACCTACCTATCTATCTACCTATCTATCTACCTACCTACCTATCTATCTACCTACCATCTATCTATCTCTATCTATCAGTCTATCTACCTACCTAATTCTCTATCTATCTAAACCACGTATGCAAACACAGGCGTGTCTAGCAAGAACCCAGAATATTTAAGGCAGAACCACACGACTTCCCAACAACTGAGATCCTGCGTGAGTCACTCGCGGGGAACATTTTCCATATTTTTTTTTCGGGAAGCAATTTCAAGGAGCGGATTCGACCGTGTGAACGTGGCCTATATGCTGCGGTGCCCAATCTGACTGATGACTGGAGTTCCCGGTCGTATGCCTTGGGAAGAAAGCCCATAAGGTGTTTCTCGTAAGCGCAGGTCGGAACACACTGACTTTTTAACAGTTTCTGGAACGGTTGTGGTAGTTCCGTGGGTTTTCGTGGAGTTACCTTGGAATGATATATTGAGTCTGGCGATATAGATATTCGTTTGATTATATATCCGTCCACACACACGCACACAAACATATGTACATGCACACACACACACACACACACACACACACACACATACACACACATATATATATATG